CTTTGCAAGGGGACGTAGGGCTTGAAGGAGGTTCGGAGATCCTTGCGTTGGCCCTTTGAAAAAGTGGGTGTTGCGGCAAGCCTTGTGCTCCCCGTCCGAGCTTGCCAGAATTTGCCACCACCCTATCAGCGCTGAGCTGAGATGAGCTGAGCTTCCCAAATCGATGCCAGTAGCGCCCCTCCCCCCGATTGGTTCGACTGGCCTTTGCTGTTGTGCTGCTCTGCTCTTTTGCTTCATGGTGTCTCGGCATGAAACCTTCATTCAGCCGCATGCCGTGCCCGGGGTTGCGAGTCAACCACCTCAAAGGCAATGCGCTTCAGGGCTACAAGAGGCAGGACGGCAGAGAGTGCCAATTCAGGGCCTCTATGTAAGGTAGAAGGCTTACGGTTGCCGGGTCGGCATGCATCTTTGTGGGACGCGTTGGGAGGGAAGATCAGTGGGCTCTGAGGTTGTGTTTCTCCTCCCAGCCAAGCAACCTGTCTGCCAGGTCCAGCGCGCCTATGCTGAAAGTCTGGTGGCAAGGGACCGCGGACATTCCGCCCTCAGGCGGCCGTGCAAGTGTTATGTTATATATAATATTGTATACATACGCACCATTGTTTTGATTATGATGATGATGATGATGATGATGGTCAAGTGCCGGAAACAAGCACCACATCACCGACAGGAGTCTTAAAATCTGGGACTGCACCGGACCGGGATTGCAACATGCACGGGCTTTCGATGATTCTCTTATCACCAGCAAGTACGGCTCCAAGGTGTTTTTTCACGAATGCTCCTTCGAGCTTGCCCAAGTTCTTGTCCACCTTCTCCTTCCCGATGTCTCGAGGATTTAAGTAAGGTCGGGGACACGCACAGAGACAAAGCCAAAGCAGACCAGAGCAGCTTGCCCTGTCCATGACCAAGCAGACAAGCTGGGCGGAGCATAGGCAACCCTGCAAACTTCTTTTTTTCTGAAACAGCAGGTGGCTTCGAGCTTTCGGATCTCGGTTCCGCGGTTTCAGTATAGGGCTTCAAGAAGGAGGCTTGCTTTTCTATTCCTTTCTGTCAGGGCAGCCTGGCGACAGGGCACCCGGCTGCTCGGGGAGTTGGCCTCCGTCATCGTGGACGGCGAAGTCTTCTCGACCTTCGCGGCTTTGATATCGGCTCTGGCATGGGCAGTTTGTTCACGGTTAGTCGGCTGGTGTGCCAAGATAGGCTAAGCTGCTAAGACCTTTTCGAGACGTTGGAAGCCTGCGCTGATCCTGGAGCATTGGGAGGCGCACCTGTGCACCGGTCTCTCAGGTGAGCATGGAGGGGTGCCATTCGAAATTGGCCACGCAGACTCTTCAGCGACTGAGCTGCATGGCTTTCAGCCTGGGGACTGGGAGAAAAATTTCTGGGAGATCTACAATGGTGGGAATGCAGTGGTCATGCACTTTCAACACCCAGCCTGCCAAGTTTGTTGGCGCAGCTTGCACGTATCTGGCTCACATGGTAGTTGAATGATTCTTGCAGGCAAGCGCGCTATGCTGTTGGTGGAATGCAGCTGCTGATTCATCGGTTCAAGGCACAGCAGTTTTCACAGCAGCTCCCATGCGATGCCAAGCAATCTTGCCAATCCACCCCAAAGATTCTCGTCGCTTGCAGGCCAGTCGCCTCGGAGTGCCAGATACGACGACACTACTGGAGTCAATCAGGCCGTTCTGAGGGCGAAATGACACGGGGCCCATGGGGCCTATGACACGACGCCAAGTCCTGTGCCTACCCGGGGTTGAGCAGTGGGACAAGCAAAATAAGCACCAGCATGCTGTGGGAGAGGCGCCTCGACGAGAGCTTCAAGCACCTTCACTCAAGCACTGCAGAGAAGACTTCCGCATGTGAACCCTGCCCCCCACCAATGCACTTGTAGAAAGGAGGGGTTCAGCAGTGCCTGTGGCTTTGAGGAGGTTGCGAGACGGGTCTGGCTTACGATTTCGGACGCATAGGAGAGTTCACGGTTGGAGCCGATGGAGATTGCAAGGCAGAAACGAAGTAAGGTTGTCTTGAGGTTGTATGGAACACATCAACATACATGCAAGGATGCATGGTAGGGAAGAGCTGAGCCAGGGGAAGGCCATGCCCTTACGTTTTTCGCTGCACCCTCGATTCCTGCAACCTTACTCAACCTTGTTGAACCGTGTGAAGTCGTAAACACTGCCCTTCGCATGCGCACTCCACGTCGCACACCCAGGGCCGTGACATGCGAAGCGAGTTGATCCGTTGCCGGGGTCAATGGCCTGGCGCTTTTAGATTTTGTTGCAAAGGCGATGAGAGCTGGGGAATCGGGTCGAACCCAACCCTTTGCGATCTTAGTTTGAAGCAGAAAAGAGTCGACCAACATACCCGCTTGCATCGCAACCGTTTTGTCACTGTCCACAGGGCCTGGAAAGCCATGTGGCCGTTGGCAGCCGCCATGTCTCCTGCGAAGCAGCGAGAGGGAACGTTTAAAGGTCCAGAACATTAGGCGCAGAGCAAGAACGGTACAAGGAGTCAAAGCAGTGTGTAGACGGCAGCTTTATATCCATTGGCTCAAGGCAATGGAGCCCGCTTTGCCCTCTAGTTATCCAGTCAGTGCTGCCTCTGCAAGACTGGCGAAGATGACAAAATGACTGCAATGTCTGTTGCAACTTGAAAGCTAGTCGCATCAATCATGCAATCACACTTCGAGTCTAAGCAGCTCTCCAACACTTCTCGAGATTCGCCGCGGCGCGCTTCGAAGCGAGTTCATATGTCCGAACCCCTATCCGACGAGGCGCGCGACGCGCGACGCTTAAGAGTCAAAGTTTGGGGATACCCAGGCCACGGAGCCCAGCCAAGCAGCCAAACCATTCCAAACCGTCATCTCTGTGGGGGCATCGGGTTCCGCCTGACGTTAGCATGGCTGGCGAGGACTGGTCTGGGGGCACCATTCTGCTTAGGCTCCGATTCCACGGCGCCTCCGCCTAAGCTTCTCTGGGTCGCCCCTCACCGAGTGCACCGGCGTCATGGGCAACAACTTCAGCGCCAGGAGCATCAGCAGGCTCAACCTCTCCCAGGCGATACCTCAGGTGCCAACACCCACTCGGGCCCACAAATCACGGGCGTCAGCCCTGAAAAACACTTCCTGCCGCGCCTTGCTCAGTCCCATGAGCCATCCGTGAGGTGCAGCCGCAACCGAGACTGAGGACCCCAAGGCAGCCTAGCTGCTAGCTGCCAGCTGCTACCTGCTAGCTGCTAGCTGCTCCCTGCTAGGGACTGCACTATCAGACCCGTCAATACCTTTGCCCCCCTCCCCCCCCCAAATCGAAAAAGCAGCTTCAGGACCTTTCTGCACGTATCGTCTCTTGTCGGAACAGTCGACTCTGCGACCAGCGAACATTCTAGAGTATTTCCTTCCCTGCAGGGACCCACGCAAGCACGATGTATGATGACGGGGCGCAACCCCAGAATGAACACGACCCCGCTCAGAAACCTTCTTGACCTCCACTGTGTGTCCCACATACTCGCGAGATATGTCCGCATGATACAAGTAGCACCTGGGATCCCTTTTTTTCGAGTATTGTGATACGGGAAGGGGTGGCCACAGGGGTTCACCTCGACACCTAAAATGCACATGTGCCGAACATATTCGCATCCCTCACGCGACATAGGGAGGGCGCTTCTTACGGACCCGGAAAGGGGCGAGGGGGGGGGGGGGGGGGGCGATTCAAATGGGCTTCGGAGACGCCCTGTGAGGCAAGACCTACAGCCGTGAATTGAACAGGGGCCCGTGGTCTTTATCGCGAGTCGTATCAAACATGCAGGTGTGCCGCCCGAGCATAAATACAGTACCAAAGTGGTTCTCATGGCTTTTGCTGTCAAGAACGTGATGCGCTTTTCTACGCGCATGTACGAACCGCTGCAGGCACACTTGAGTACAGGACATGGACCACTGTGGTTTTCAGTACGTTGCAAAATGGCAGTCGATGCACACCGCGTGTCCACAGCTGGGGGTGCAGAAGCTTCCGGCAACTCGGTCACGCCAGGCAGCTGGTGGTTTCGTGGCACTTGAACAGCATTCTCGGCATATTCGCGACAGTCCCGAATGCTCGTGACAGCGCGTCTTGTTCCAGGCACGTCCAACATCCTGCTGAAGTATGTTGTGCAGAAAGGCCATAATGCTGCAAATACGCGTGTTTTCGGCATGTTCACAACAGACATTAACGCTTGTGAAAGCGCGTCTGGTTCCAGAAAGTCCTTGTGCATGATGTTGTGCAAAGAGGCAAGAACGTGTGTGGGTTCTTGTGTTACTTGTTTTAGGGTTCTGCTCGGCCTTTGCTTGGGGAGAGTGGCCAAGGCTTGCACCTTTATGTCTGTATATGGGGTTTCACTCGGCCGAGGCGAGTGTCGATACTCTCGTAAATCATGATACCGTTCCGGCGCGGTCTACGGTAGCATAATCTGTAGCATAATCTACACCAGTAGAGTGCGTTGTGTGTCGTATGTTGTTGTGTGTACTATGATCGTACCGAAAGATCGCAGGATCAGCTGGCATCGCTGTCCGTGCAGAAAAGGGGCATGTGCAGAAATGACTAGTAACAGGTATATTGTAAAAAACTATTTGACAAGCATTGTGTTGGTTGTTTTGGTTTTGCTGCCGGGGCAGCAGTAGCGCATGCAGTAGCGCTGATGCTGTGAGGTTCTCTGTCAGCGGCTTCTGCGGAGTGAGCCGAAAAGCATTCATGCAGGGCAGCGTGTTGGCTGACCATCTAAATATGGGTCAAAGGCTCAGCCTGCCATGGCGATATTCATAACCCCAGACCGTCCCCGGTAAGCCCTGAAAGTTCCTACCTACTTAGCGTTCTCATTTATACATGCGCTGACGTTGAGTTCCACAAAGGGTGCTGGGCACATGTGAAGCATGCCTTTGGTCACCCCGTGCCCGCGCGGCCAAGATATTTAGGATCAAGGACATCTCAACTTGAACCGCAGACGCCCAGCTCGGGCTCCTTTGCCTCGATATGGATCTTTGCCGTAGCTTGATCCTTCTCAAGGCCGGAGAATGCGCCAGTACACGCCGCTCCTCATTCAGCAAGTCAAGTCAAAATCACTTCAGCACGACACTGTCCCACCTTCTCGGCGACGCATAATGTCAAGAACCTGCGAAGAGGTCCAGAAAAAGTGTCCCATTGTCGGAGGCGCTCGCGGTGCTAGCTTTGCTGGCTGCGACCTTGGACTACGATGTTGATGCCGAAGGCTACACGGACAAAGGAGGAGGAAACTGCAGCACAGAGAAGGAGCTTTGGAAGCGCAAGGTCTGTGATTCGGGCTTCGAGAGTTTTGGTGAGTCACCCCGTTTGCCCAAGGCATAGGACTGCACACATCATTTTTCTGAAGCTTTTATGACAAATTGAGCCCCAGGCCCCAGGCCAGTCGTTGAAAGCAGCCGGAAATATAACTCAAGGTTCTTACAAGCCTTGATCACATCCGGGAGGCAACAGAGAAATCAGAGAATACGGTGTGCTTCCCTTCAGCTACAGGAGAAGGTATCACACAACACACGCCCACGCCCGCACACCCACACCCCTACCCACACCCCCACACACACACAAAACACACACACACACACACACACAAGAATCCACCTCCTCATTTTTGTGCCAAGTGATCGTCAGCCCATCCAGCCAGCCCATCAAATGGGGCGGGGCGGGCGGGGGCAATTATGCAATCCGCCCGCTCTTTTCAGCCGTGCAAGGCTTGCTTCAAAGAGTACTGTGCCATGAGTACACATTCCTGCAAAGCCATATGGACCCGTACGGGCATGGTGTCTGAGCCCTCCCCAACCCCCTTTTTTCAGCCGCGCTAAGCTTGTTGGAAAGAATGTCCATCACTTTTCCGTCAAAATCAAAGCTAAGGCAAAACCATATGAACCCTTTCCAAGCCTGGATGAGCACACTGTTTTGCAGATGGGGTTGGCGGGCACGCCCTCCCCACCACCCCCCCCCCCCGCTCTTTTCAGCCGCGCTAAAGCTTGCTTCAAAGAATATACCATCGCTAGAAAGGAAGTTCAAAATTGAACACCAAAGAACCTGGCACCAAAACGATTCTGCGTAAGTTGATGTCCCAAATCCGCCGAAGATTGCCAAAGGAAGAGGCCGCTCTTCTCCAGCGACATGTGCACAAGCCGCTGAACTCCACCAACGTTGCGCCGAACATACAGGCACGATGCTACCCAGTCTGAGTCAGTTCCCTCGGTGGAAACTGGTACTGGCACAGTGTGTTAGGGAGTGTTTCCTGGTTGGCCGGCACAGCCAGAAGCCTGCCCGCCTGCAGGTCTTAGCACCAACATTTGAGCATCGAGTCCGTTGCAAGTTGCATTCGCCCACAGTTCAACTCTGAGTCAACATGCAGACCTCATCACCGTGCACGGTGGACTCGCTACTCTGCAGGTGTGTCCTTGGGGTTTGACGGCTTGAGGGTCCGAGGGCTCGGGGCCTTAAGGGCCCGACTTAAGACGCAGGGGCTCCTTCATCCTGAAGCTTGCGCTGGGTTCTTGGCTTGGTCGTTTCATCTACAGTCTGGTTTTTTGAGTTTTTGAGTTTTGTGACTCGGGGTCCTAAGTTCCTGGGGCTAGGATCGTGTATTTCTGGACTTGTCCAGGCAGGATGCCAGCTTTCGGTCGAGATGTAGACGGATTCAAAACTCCAGAAAACCTTCAAAACCCCCCAACCACTCCGAAACACACCCAACCTCCAAAACCTCCCAAAGCCCCTACCCCAGACCCAACGAACGGTTATCCACTTGCAGAGCAGGCCGCTTTGTCCGAAGTCTCCCGCCCTCGCCGTCGCCAGTGGGGAAAACATGAAACTGAGCTGTTGCTGGAATTAGCCCTGTCCTCCGTGCCTTTAGCTTTTAAGCTGAGTGATACGAAGTAGAAAGCAAAGCAAAGTATATTGCAGTCTGATAGCATATGCAGCAGCTTCTGTTAGCGCTTAGGCCTGCGGAAGAACAGCACGCATAATGAACTTAATGGTATTTTGGTTCCCAGTCCCTGTGCTTCTCTTGCCGAACCCAAGATAAAGGTCGGTGACTTCCGAAACATCTCAAGTCCATCGCCGGCGCAATTTCCAGTTTAGGTTTTTGGAGGTCTCTTATTACCGTGGTTGTGTTCCGTTCCGGCATCCTGGAAAAAGACATGCCGTTTGGGAGTACAAAATAGGATGCAGTCAAAAAAGTCATTCACAAGTGAATCCTGCAGCACCACAACAGCCCAGGACTATCCCACCGGCTATGGCCAGGCAGGTGGATCTTCTGCATCTGAAACTTGCATTTTCAAAACGGGAACCTATGCTAATGAATTGGGAATCCCACCCCTGGTGGCTTGAGATCCCAAGCTAACACACCCCGCGCAAAGGATGAGTTGGAGGCGATCGAGGAACTTAAGGATGCGATTGAGACCCTCAACAGCAACCTCGCGCAAATTCCGGCGCAGGCCTTTGCGACGGACTTTTCGCTACACCCTGCAGAGGTTTAGGTGTTCTCAAGTCTGGACATGGCTTACCTCATCATGGAATGCTAGGCTCATGTGCTCCTGTTCAGACTTTGCGCGCAAGCGGGGCTTAAAGGAAGCCCACCCCGCAGGTCACAGAAGAACTGACGGGTGCCTTGGAAAAGGCGAGGCTTGTTCAAGAAGCGAAAAGGTCCGTGTTCGCCAATAGCGAGTGTGCTTCACGTACGTTTATCAGAGCATCCTGTTAAGTACGATGTTTGAGGGCAGCTTTGCAGATGCAGTTGCAGATGGGCACCCAGGGCCCGTGGACTCTGCACAGAAGCTGCATGAGCCATTTCGGGCCTTGCAGGCGCTACCAGCTCTGGGTGTGCAGGACGTGGTGATCGAGCAAGCTCCTGCCGGCCTGTGTCTAGGTGGGACGTGTCCAAAGTGCTTCTACGGTTTGAGGGAGAAGGTTGACAAGGCTTCTTGGCAGTTGCCAATGGAAGTAGATAGAATATGACGAATGTGGAGAATAGTCTTACTGTCCCCAGTGATGATGCTAGTGATGATGCTGCGGTTCTAATAGGGGACAGCTGTGGGGTTTCCATGAGACGTTGTTAGACTGAAAAGTGTTGGGCGCCTTCGACTTACCGGGCTGTTCCAAACCACAGGCGAGAATGCCAGCCATGTGGTCCCTAACGGCAATTGCAGTGAGCTGGAGCTGATGGAGAAGGGAAACTGTGTCGTGGAGTTATTCTAGTGCGTTTGAGGATTGTCATACCTCCCATTGCATATGTCTTCTTCTGCGCAACTCCCAGGTACATACACGATCAGCAATGACCCGAGCAGGGCCAGTGCCAACAGCACCATCATCCCTGGCTGCGGGCTTCTCATCAGTGGCTTCCAAGAGCTCTTTGTCTACTGCAATACCGCCTCAGAGCAGCGTGACCTGGCCGACGAAAGCTGATGGGCTGTAGACTTTTTTCAGGCATCTACGTTTGATCAACGTTTGACCACGAACAGAAGAAGCACTTATTTCCTCAAAGGATTGTTCTATACTAATTTCAGCTCCCTAATAATGCACGAGTTTGGCTCATCCAGGTCAAGTCACTGCAACGACTTGCAATGGACTCGGCACGGCGAAGTTCAACCATCTGTTGGCTGCCTTCACGGAGGTGAGAGCATGTTCTAGGTACCGGGTCTGAGCAACTGCATGTTGGAATTGTCAATCGTAGTCAGGTGTCCGACCAGACCGATGAGAACTCGACCCGCGTCGCGTGCCTCAGCACTGCTTGCCAGGACGATTCTGTGGGCAGTTGGGCTTGCCCAGACGCGTGGACAGGAGAAGGTGAAGATGTGCGAGTCACCGTACAGTTCCTAGTCGACCCCCAGGCATGCGCATACATCATTCAGCAGCCTAGCATGGGGGCCTCAGGCAACGACACTGATGTGCTCATAATCACAAGCAGAGACCCGGCAGCAACCACCACTACTTCGCCGGCATCCACCACTAGCACTTCCCAACTCTCCACCACGGACGCTGCTATTTCAAGTACTGCTGCCACGACAGCCGCCGCCGCCGCCACCAGTACGACCACGACTACTGGCACTAGCACCAGCAGCGGCTCTACGACAACCACCGCCAGCAGCGCCACCGCTGCAGCCACTGTGACAGCGTCCAGTACGACTACGTCCATGACAACAGCAGCTCCGTCGTCGCTTCTTGCTACCAGCGCAACTTCGCAGATTGCCAGAGACGGTGCGAGTCACAGTGAGCTTCCTGGCAAAAGCAACCCCAGCGGCGATCTAGCTCACTTGACAGAGTTGCTGGAGAGCGAGTTGGCCAGCGCAAAGCAAGAGCGTGAACAGTTGCACAGCGAGATGCGGGAGTTCCGCAAGATTCGCCAGAGCTTGGAAGACAAGACCCTCCTTCCTACATACGAACCAGGTCCCCATAGCGGTGGGGAGGAAGTGGCTAGCCTCAGGCCATCCACAAGGAGCACTCCGACCAGAAAGAAGCCAGTTGTCGCTCGAAAGCCTCAGGATCCGTTGGCATTTTCCCTTTGCCGACATGATCAGAGAAAGCCTGGGCTCAAGAGGGCCAACAAAACAAATCTCCTGGCCGATGCAGCCCAGCTTGCGACTTTGCCGTAGTTCACAACAAGATTTTTCTCGTTGTTCTCAATAGTGGCATGGCTGTAGAGTTCCTCCGCGGCTTGCACTTGAATGCTCAGGAGATGGGCTCCAATTTTCCCGGCACATGCAACCCGACCACAGAGGTGGCTTTCTTTGACTCACAAGCTGGACAGTACAAGTGCTGCGGGCACCAAAACCTGGCCTGTGCTGGATGTTCCGACTTCAGCCTCGTGGCCGCGCAAAGGATTCTCCATTCTTCCTACCAGCATCGTCTGGTCCCGTCTGGTAGCTTGGGGGAGGTCGTATAGAGTTCCTTTTCAGAAATGGTCACAGACCGAGACCCAAGGCAACGGCGCGTGCCAGCGCTGCACCGGAGGCTTCGTGCAAACGGGTGGCACGTGCCAGGCGTGCATGGACTTCGTGGACTGGCGCAGTCAGGGCCTCGTACAAGACAGGTACTCGTACAACTTTGGCGGTAGGCCATGATGCAGATACCTGGCAACGCTTGAATCCTAAGGCAAGGACGGCTTGCTGTGCGGACAGCTGCCGACAGCCAGTTGCAACGATCAGAAGTTCAAAGGCTTTTCTGCACAGGATGCATGCTGCAAATGCGGAGGTGGGCACCGCGAGGCTGAAACTGCCTGCAGATTTGTAAGTTGCATTTCGGGTCCGCGGGGCGTTTCACACGTGATTGGTTGCTCGTTGGGCTCGTTGCTTGCCGCTGCCCCTCTCCCTTTCGATAGTACTGCTGTTAGTTTTGGTTCAGGCGACTGCGTTCACCTACTACGTAGCTCCCATGGTGCTGGGCTCTTCGATCGTGGTCGGCCACCCAGTGCCGCGCACAGCTGCTTGTCCGCGACAACATTATTGACATGATCTTCTGTTATACCGCGTGAGGAGCGCTTATAGAACTTCCCCCCAAGCTGAAGATAATTGAAATCCTGGCAGCTACAGTACCCCGCGAAATCACGAGGCTTCGAAGTACTTCCTGGATCCGGCTTGCCAGCTGGCGGCGCACAACATGACAATCGACGGTAGCACAGGGGAGCTGCTTCTGATGACTGGATGTAAGGCGGCTCAAAGCTCGGTCCAAAGCAGGGTTCAACTCAAAGCAGTTTTCAATGATTCAAGTTACCGTAAAGAGTGGACAGGCTTGGAACAGTACACAATTCACAAGGGCTCAGGTGTGCTCCGACGTGTTTGCTTACGAAAGCAATCCTGAGAAAATGGTTGGTTCTCTCAGTCCCCAAGTTCACCCCGTGCCTCAGGTGGTGGGCTGCAACCACGCCAAGGAAGCCTTCAGCATTACCTGCACAATCACTGCAGTTCAAGCGCCAGGGCTCATCTCACAAGCCCAGCTCACCGTATCGGCAGATTTGGGCTTCTCCTATGGCTCTACACCCCTTATATTCTATGGGTCACATGACTCCTATACCCCAACAAGGCCAGCTGTTGCCCAAGGTGGCCAAGCCGATCTGCCAGACGTGTCCTTGCAGCCTCTCGGAGGTATGTCTGGGATCTTGCAGGAAGCAAGTGAGCTGAAGATCGGAGATAATCCGTATTTTGCTCAGACTGCGATGGAGGAAGACTACGCATTCGTGGAACTTCCCACATTCCGTGGCAGCTGTTGGTTTGTGAAGGGGCTCGCTTACGGGACAGTGAGCGCCATTCTGACACAATGGACAATTCAGTCCCACTCAGCTTCCACCATTTACCTCGACTTCTATGCAAATCAGGACCAGTTCAGACAATGGAATATGGATGTCTGGAATGTGAGCAGCCTTGTTGGGAGCACGGTTCAGCTTCCAAGCGGATCCACACTTGGTGGAGGCCCTGTCTATGAACAGTCTGTCGTCGCAGGCTCAACCGTGCACTTGGGAGGCACTGGTGCAGACGCAAACTCTGAAGACAAGAAGCCCTACCTAGTGTGGGTGTGTCCTCAGGATGTCATAGACGACACCGCGACCCCGCCACAGCGCTTCATCAAGGTATCCTGTGCGCCAGCCGCCAGCAGACTTGTCTCCGCAGCTTGCATTGAACAGCGACACGGGAGCTATCCAATGGCCCCAAGCTTCCACTACCGACGGCGGCATATCCAGTGAGGGCTTGGGCGAAGTGATGGGTGGTGCTTGCATGGTCCAGGGCGAGCGAACATCCTCGTCCTTTGTTGCACTCAGGCCATCAATATGGCATTCGTTGGACTATGGCTGCTTCGCCCACAGTGGGATAGGGCTGCCCTTCATTCCATGGGGCTTAGGACTTAGGAGTCAAGGTTGCTAGAAGGCTTGTTTTGATTGCTGCATTTGGAGACGAAGACAAGGCTATGATGGCACCATCTATGCAACCTTCGGACAGAAGACGCCGCTCTTGAAGCTCAGGCCCAAAGCTGTGCCCTTGCTTTTGCGGCTACTGTACCTTCTGGATAGCAGGTTCCTCTACGAAGACTCCCGCAATTTTTTGGGCACCCCTCACATGCGCATGAACATCAGAAGCTTGATGTACTTTCTGGCTTTCTCCAGCCCAAGGAAGCCCGAGGACCATCCAGGGAAAGTCCCTCCGACGCGATTTTCGGCCGAACTGGTTTCTTCGCCACAGGCCCGCGGCATGCCTCAAAACCCTTGTGAAGACTTGTTCGAAGAGGAACACGTTTTTTTGGTCCTTGCCCTCTTGACATCTGAAGTAGAATTTTGGGGGCCTGAACCCCAGGTCACTCACGAGGTAGAATTTCTCGAAGCAACTCAAGAGTGAAGAGCTCTTTGTCTTTTCAGTCGTCCGACTCCTGGTGTGCCCTTCCGATGCGGGTTTCCTTGAATAATTAGTCCTTCGCGCCCCTCTCCCCTCATGGGCGGTGGGTGAGCTGTCGTGGATGAATGTCGAATCACGTAATTAACTCAGGGGGGCCTTGCAAGGCACGCAGGGATTTTCTTTGGCCTAGTTAAAACTGTTTATTTAGAAAACAAACGTCCCAGAAAAGCAGCAAGTTTTTCGGGATCATGATTCCACCTTCAAAAATCAGAGAGACCGTATGGGCTCGCACGAAGCATCTTGTGCCTTGTGCGATCGCAGGGCATGTGTCGTTAATTCTTCACAAACATCAAACTGCCAATGCCTAGCGCGCTGCTCGGCTGCAGCCGCCGCTGCTGTTGCTGCTGCGTTCATGAAACCCAGCACCCTAACCTGCTGGCTGCGTGCCCATCCCGGCAAGCAGAGAGCACGCTCTTACAAGGACATGCAAGGTGCCCGAGCGTCATGATTCACAGCCTTGGATTAATGTGATGCATCGGTGATTGTGGGGTCTTGGGAGCTGTTGGAGTGTAAGCGGTGCGAATGACCGGTGTTATGTTTCGACACGCTCCATCAAGTTCCAACATCCTCCAGACTAGTTTCCAAATTAAGTTAATGTGGGGGGAGGGGGGGGAGGGGGCGAACCCAAGGGTGTATTTTGGACACCCGCATAGTAAAAACTCCGGGATTCATTAGGGGACAACAGTGCAAAGTGTGTTGGACCTTTGGGTTGGCCTTTGTGAAAAAGCCAAAGCGAATTGGGGATAGCTTTGCCGCAGGATGCTCAGAAGCAAAGACACGTTTTCGACATCTTCACCGGTGCAATGACCTTCGACGCGCTGCCGCTCTTCGAGCTAGATGTCAAAACGGGAGCTTTCATTTTGCATCCCTCCAAGGAGCTTGCAGATGTCCAACAGGCATATGACACCAGGGTATCGATCCAAGGGACGTACAATATCTACGCGCATCATGAGTGGCCTCCTTTGGGGTCGGGCCCGGTACTTTCACACCAGCTGCATCTGGAAGTTCGGGATGACACGTGCTGGGTGAAACAACAGACCAACTTTCAGCAACGAGTCACGCTTCCGGGCCAGATCTGGTCGAACGTAAATTGTCGCTCCGCGTGCAAGGCAAGGGCAAGCTGCACTCACTATTCGCTGTCTCTTGGGTTCTGCCATCTCTATGAGGGCCAACTGTGCAGCAAGGTGGACGGTTGCACATATGTTAACCAGGATGTCTATGCAAGGTATTCCGGCTGTGGAGAGCGAGACTCTTGCTTGCTCCTCAGCGTAGAAGGCGCTGCCCAGTACTCCGGAAGCTATTGCCCCGCCGGAGAGAACAGTGTCCCAGGTGGCCAAGTGTTCCTCAAGCAGGGTCGGACAAAGCAAGATTCGTTTTGGCTCGTCCCGGGCCACAACGCATGTCAGGGGATCTACCTGCAGGAGCGTGAGGCTCAGCCCGTTCAAGATTCCAGACAGAATGGTGTGACTGCCAGCTAGCATAGTCTGATGTCTCAGAAACCCAAGTAGATCGTGAATGCTACATGAGTTCTTATACCGCTTATACCTTCTTGCACGTTTGCGTCTCTGTGGTAAATGTGCAACACTGGTGCTTTCGCGCTGCGTTGATTGGGCCTGAAAGCATCGTGAACTGGGTGGACTATTGCTGCTAGGTCATGCTACTGTAGGTGTACAGTATGCCATGCCTGCTGAGGTCAGTGCCGGAGCAGGACTTTGTGAATGAGACCAGCTCATATGTTGAGCTGCATGGCACAGGCAGTGCACACTAAAGCATGGGAGCGTGACGCAACGCAGACGTTGTGGTTGCTGTGGTGGTTGTGGTGGTGGTTGTGGTTGTGGGTTTGGTTGTGGTTGTGGTTGTGGTTGTGGTTGTTGTGGTTGTGGTGGTTGTTGTTGTTGTGGTTGTTGTGGTTGTTGTTGTTGTTGTTGTTGTTGTTGTTGTTGTTGTTGTTGTTGTTGTTGTTGTTGTTGTTCTTGTTGTTGTTGTTGTTGTTGTTGTTGTTGCTGTTGTTGCTGTTGGTGCTGTTGGTGCTGTTGGTGCTGTTGGTGCTGTTGGTGCTGTTGGTGCTGTTGGTGCTGTTGGTGCTGTTGGTGCTGTTGGTGCTGTTGTTGCTGTTGTTGTTGTTGTTGTTGTTGTTGTTGTTGTTGTTGTTGTTGTTGTTGTTGTTGTTGTTGTTGTTGTTGTTGTTGTTGTTGTTGTTGTTGTTTGTTGTT